AACACGGTCAAATACTGAGTCGAACAGGGTCGATAGAGTCAAACAGAGTCAAATCATGTGTCGAACAGGGTCGATAGAGTCGAAGAGGGTCGAATCATGAGTCGAACTGGGTCGAATCATGAGTCGAACACGGTCTAATCATGAGTCGAACAGGGTCGAATCATGAGTCGAACAGGGTCGAATCATGGTTCGAACAAGGTCGAATCATGAGTCGAACAGGGTGGAGTCATGGGTCGAACAGGGTCGACTCATGAGTCGAGAAGGGTAGAATCATGAATCGAACGGGGTCGATAGGTTTGAACAGGATCGAATCATGAGTCGAACTGGGTCCAATCATGAGTCGAACAGGATCGAATCATGAGTCGAACACGGTCGAATCCTGAGTCGAGCAGGTTCGAAACATGAGTCGAACAGGGTCGAACCATGAGTCGAACAGGGTCGAATCATGAGTCGAACAGGGTCGAATCATGAGTCGAACAGAGTCGAATCATGATTCGAACAGGGTCGAATCATGAGTCGAGCAGGGTCGAATCATGAGTCGAACAGGGTCGAATCATGAGTCGAATAGGATCGATAGAGTCGAACAGGGTCGAATCATGAGTCGAACACGGTCGAATCATGAGGCGAACAGGGTCGAATCATGAGTCGAACAGGGTCGATAGAGTCAAACAGTGTCGAATCATGAGTCAAACACGGTCAAATACTGAGTCGAACAGGGTCGATAGAGTCAAACAGAGTCAAATCATGAGTCGAACAGGGTCGATAGAGTCGAAGAGGGTCGAATCATGAGTCGAACTGGGTCGAATCATGAGTCAAACACGGTCTGATCATGAGTCGAACAGGGTCGAATCATGAGTCGAACAGGGTCGAATCATGGTTCGAACAAGGTCGAATCATGAGTCGAACAGGGTGGAGTCATGGGTCGAACAGGGTCGACTCATGAGTCGAGAAGGGTAGAATGATGAATCGAACGGGGTCGATAGAGTTGAACAGGATCGAATCATGAGTCGAACTGGGTCCAATCATGAGTCAAACACGGTCAAATCATGAGTCGAACAGGGTCGAATCACGAGTCGAACAGAGTCGAATCATGATTCGAACAGGGTCGAATCATGAGTCGAGCAGGGTCGAATCATGAGTCGAACAGGGTCGAATCATGAGTCGACTAGGATCGATAGAGTCAAACAGGGTCGAATCGTGAGTCGAACACGGTCGAATCATGAGTCGAACTGGGTCGAATCATGAGTCGAACAGGGTCGATAGAGTAGAGCAGAGTCGAATCATGAGTCGAACAGTATCGAATCATGAGTCGAACACGGTCGAATCCTGAGTCGAGCAGGTTCGAAACATGAGTCGAACAGGGTCGAGCCATGAGTCGAACACGGTCGAATCATGAGTCGAACAGGGTCGAATCATGAGTCGAACAGGGTCGAATCATGATTCGAACAGGGTCGAATCATGAGTCGAGCAGGGTCGAATCATGAGTCGAACAGGGTCGAATCATGAGTCGAATAGGATCGATAGAGTCGAACAGGGTCGAATCATGAGTCGAACACGGTCGAATCATGAGGCGAACAGGGTCGAATCATGCGTCGAACAGGGTCGATAGAGTCAAACAGTGTCGAATCATGAGTCGAATACTGAGTCGAACAGGGTCGATAGAGTCAAACAGAGTCAAATCATGAGTCGAACAGGGTCGATAGAGTCGAAGAGGGTCGAATCATGAGTCGAACTGGGTCGAATCATGAGTCGAACACGGTCTAATCATGAGTCGAACAGGGTCGAATCATGAGTCGAACAGGGTCGAATCATGAGTCGAACAGAGTCGAATCCTGAGACGAATAGGATCGAAAGAGTCGAAGAGAGTCGAATAATGAGTCGAACAGGGTCGATAGAGTCGAAGAGAGTCAAATCATGAGTCGAACAGGATCGATAGAGTAGAACAGGGTCGTATCATGAGTCGAACACGGTCGAATCCTGAGTCGAACAGGGCCGAATCATGAGTCGAACAGGGTCGATAGAGTCGAACCGAGTTGAATCTTGAGTCGAACAGGGACGATAGAGTCGAACAGTGTCGAATCATGAGTCGAACACGGTCGAGTCCTGAGTCGAACAGGGTCGATAGAGTCGAATAGAGTCGAATCATGAGTCGAACAGGCTTGATATAGTCAAACAGGGTCGAATCCTGAGTCGAAGAGGGTCGAATCTTGAGTCGAACTGAGTCCAATCTTGAGTCGAACACGGTCGAATCATGAGTCGAACAGGGTCGAATCATGAGTCGAACAGGGTCGAATCATGGGTCGAACCGGTTCGAATCATGAGTCGAACAAAGTCGCAATATTAGTCGCAGAGAGTCGCAACATAGCTAATTTGGGTCGCGCAAAGTCCGCAACATGAGTCGTGCAAAATCATATAAATCAATGAAGTAAAGTTTTTCAAATTCTGAAGCTTCCATTCCTTTCCAGGTTTTCCAACAATTTTCTGCTGGATAGAGCGAACAGAATGCTTGGCGCGAAAGATTGATGATAGTAGATTGATTGTTCTGTTCTGTAGAATAATTGACTGAAACTACATATTTTGCAGCAGTCAAATGTATCAGCTGTTTTGAGGCTCTTCAAACGATACAGACATGAGTGCACATTCGATCTTACTGTTTTAATATCACTGTCTTTGTTCAGGTTTTTTGATATGTAACTACCGAATAGTTTTGTATCATCAACTTGAATGTTGACTATATTGATGATGAGATTATATTGAAGCATAATTAAGACTCGTTTTGCGGGCGTCCTTCAAAAGCTGCCATAGTGGTACCACGTGAAAACTCTAGACGCCAAAAAAAACTACCTTCAAAGGCTAACAAGACTGCTCGTATCAGGGCGAAGCCCTGAATGTTCCGACTGCCTTTTAAGGTTTATGGAGCAGTCATAACATGAAAAACTGATTAGTAATAAAACAAAATGAAAATGGATCTTTTTAAATGAAAATCAACCCCCCACAGGCCATATAAAGCCCGCACCGAAGTTTCATGGATAATAATAGATTATAATGGATTTTCGTTGACTAAAATGTTGTCAATATAATCGATTATCATGTCAAATTTAGACCACATAATGGACTTTTAATCAATTATAATCGATCGTTTTGGAAAAATTTAAATCCATTATAATCCATTATAATCGATTATAATGGATTTTTATTGACTAAAATGTTGTCAATATAATCGATTATCATGTCAAATTTAGACCACATAATGGATTTTTAATCGATTATAATTGATTATTTTGGAAAAATTTAAATCCATTATAATCCATTATAATCGATTATAATCCATTTTTGTTTTCATTATAATGGATTATTTTTTGTACATGAAATCCATGAAAATTGAATAAATTTTGTAAACAATTACTCTAATTTCTGCAACTTTCTGCAAAACTCGAACGAACACGTTCATCCAGGGGCGACCAATATGTGGTAATTTTCCAAAAAGTGCCCAAAAACAGCATTTTTGACCAGCTCTTCACGTCAACAACCACATCCCCCCCCCCGACCCCAACTTACCCCCCCCCCTGCCAACGTACTCCCTCCCCCCAACATACCCCTCAACGTATCCAACATCCAACCCCCCCCCCCACCAACGTACCCCCCCCCCCCCCCACCAACGTACCCCCCCCTCAACGTACCCCCCAACCCACGACGTAACCCCCTCACGTTTACCCATCCCCCCACGACACCCCCAACCACGAGGTGCCCCCTCTCTCTCTAGTTAGGGGACATCTAACTCTAGTAAGGGACATCAACTCTAGTAAGAGGTGAGGGGGGACATCAACTCTAGTAAGAGGTGGGGGGGGGGGGGGGGTTGGTGTGCGATCTATAGGTAACTTTTTATAATTTTTCAATAACTCGATTGAAAATAGGAAAAAAAGAAATTAAGCGAAAAGAAATTCAAACAAAATAACTAACTTAAGTTTAACAAAATTATGAAAAAATGAAAACAACACACAAAAAATTTTGAATAAATAGATTATAATCCATTATAATCGATTAAAATGGATTATTTTTCTTTTGAAATTTTTTTTTGAAAATAATCGATTATAATCGATTATATTGGGATTTTATTGCTTTAAAAAATATTATCATTATAATCCATTTTCAATCGATTATAATCGATTATTTTTGTTATTTTGTAGAGTCTGACAATAAAAATCCAATACAATCGATTATTATCCATGAAATTTCAGTGCGGGAGTACAAAAGAATAGCTGCTAGTAACAATCAATTATGGCAAATAAGCTTATTTCAACCAATTTGGAAAGATTTCTAGAACGGATTAAATCTCCGCTTACGCGTTGAAAGTGCGAAATATATCGCGCGTTAATTGTCCCAAATTGGCCAAAATGCCAGTCTTTAAACCCCCATAACTTTACGAAAAATAATCACAGGTGAAATATCTTTTTAAATTTAAGCTCAGGACAACAATACCTTTCGAGCGATATTTAAAAAATCTCGTTAAAAATGGCTAGTTAAAAAGTCGACGTTACAGGTATGCGGAATCCACTTAAATTTTGTTTGTGGAATCCATTTACATTTTTGAACATATTTTAAGACTTTTCTCTGGAATCCAGGAACATACAGACACGAAATTGTGCTCCTATCCAGTGCACAGTTTGGCCTCGTAATGAAAACCCACCCCGAGCACAAATATTCCGTTACTTTCGTATCGAAAGTCGGAACAAAAAAGAGCATCGGTCAACAAAATAACTCAGTCTGAAATGTGAGGAAATTAGAGAAACCGGCTATGCTTGGACAGGCTGGATAGCCTTTTCTAAGTGCTCTGCGAATCCGAGAAACGACAATTATTAAAACTCGTTGAAGGTAGGTCAATAAATGAAACGAGAAGTTTAATTTTAAAATCTTCCAAGTTAAGGCTTGAAGGAAACAATTTTTTACATAAAAAATTTAAGAAAGGTTTCTGCTAGAGTAATAAGAGAGCCAGTATTTTATACAAGTGCACAAAAATTACCTAACTAACAGTCAGCAGTTAGTTTTTCAATTTCACGGGCTACTCTGAACACCATTTCTTCGTGCATATATCCCGAAACTATCTGGATGCCAACAGGCATTCTAGAACCCTGCATATTCCCCCTGTCCTCCAGCTGAATGAAAGCACAATTAACAGTAATCGCCGGATGTCCAGTTAGGTTGAAAAGACAGCAGTTCACGTTTAGAGCAGCGGGATCCTCAATGAAGTCCTTTAATGGGTCTTGAATAGTGGGTATTTTGGGAGCAGGGTAAGGGACAGTTGGTAAAATGAACACATCGAACTTCGAAAAAAGTCTGTTCACGTTTCTGAAAAAAAATGTTTAAAAAAAACACTTCTAAGAAATGAAAAAGAAATTAAATTTACGGAAATATGAAATACGGAAATATGAAATATTAGGGAAACGTTCTTTTTGATGTTTTTGTTCCACGATGAAGCTTCATGGTCAGCAGTTTCTTGTTTTTAAGCAAGTAGAAGGAATGAAAATCTTAACCCTTTTTTTGTGACAAAACCTTCCTATTTTTTATTGGATTCCACTAACTAAAATGGGTGGGACTTTTGTACGAAACTTGCATTAGTAAAGTTGGCCAAAATTCCTAATTTAAAACTGACTGTTTGTCAAAACAAACGAACTCGAAATTAATTACTTGGCCATAAGTAGGGTTCGATTGATTGTCTTCTCTAATATATTTGACTTTTTAATATCCTCTTCTAAAAGTTTTGAAGCAGAAAATGCAACTTTTGCTTCTTGGGGAAGATTTCTGTTCGTATCAAGCATGCTGTTCTTCAAATCCAACATAAAAGATGATCTGCCCAAGTAAGGCTGCAAATTTTCGCCGACGATTTTCGGAAATTCAGTCAGAGAAAGAACTGCGATGACTTTCCGTGCTTCAATTAGCTCGGGTACTGATATAAATTCTACTTCAAGCCCCGACTTTCGCATTTTTTCAACAGTCAATTTTACTGCATCCGAAATTTTTCTGCAGTTTTCGTCTTCATATAGAAAACCCTCCTGAATAACAGCGGCTTTGATACCCGCAACTCTTGTGCCAAATGCGGATTTGTGTGAATGCATTTGAATATTCGGCCCTGAGGTTGTATTAGAAAGGAGATCAGTTCCCGCGATGGCGTGCAAAAGAATACCACAGTCCTGGAAAACAAAATTCGTGAAAAAATCTATCCAAGAGAACTTGTACGTAATATTTTTAGCTCTTTGATTGTAGAACTAGTTTTGCTGTAGTTTTGGAAAGTTATGTCTTTGTATGTCTGTTACATCGATCCCTTCCAATTTGAGAGCTTGTGGACCGTTTTAGCTTAAAACCTGGAATTACTGAATGAAACAGTAAGAAATAATAAAGTATTTTATAATTCCATTGTAGCCTTGATTTTGATGATTTGCTACGAAATAAATGTAATCTTACATCCACATTTCTGGCCATTGGTCCAATATGGTCCACCGAAGGCAAACACATCAAACAGCCAGATATTGGAACCAGTCCATAAGTTGGTTTCAGACCCACACACCCGCAAAACGAAGCCGGAACCCTAATCGAACAACCAGAGTCACTGCCAACCGCCATGTCAACTTGAGCGAGCGCCAGTGCAACCGCGTTGCCGGAACTGGAACCTCCGGATACTCTGGTCTTGTCGAAAGGATTCAAAGTTGGCCCATGTATACTTGTATAAGAGTAAGCAGAGAAACAGAGGTCTTCGCATGTCGTCTTGCCTACTATGGTTCCGCCCTGTTGAAGAACCCGTTCCACCACTTTGGCGTCCGTCTTCGGAATAAAATTCTAAAAAGTGGGCGTGTCTTAATTCATGTCACATGCAGGGACGTATCTACGTTCTCGGGGAATGGGTTGTTGGATTTTTCTAAAAATATGCGTGTTTTTTCAATGGGTACTCTTCAAAAGTAGGCGCCTGAAAACAGGCTGCAAAGTTCCACGGCGTTCTCGAGATTTCCTTTGGTTGTAAATATAGCAACTTTTACCGTGAATGGAATCTAAATTGCAAATAATTTTTTATTATTAACTTTATTATAAATTGGCGCCAAATGCGCCCTTAAAAAACCCAGGGTCGGTTGGGCTAAAATTTTGTTGAATAGTTTTGAAGGGTGATGCAGTGGTGGAATCCCTGAGGTTTCGAGTTGTTCTCCGGGCCTAGAATCGTTTTAAGCTAATTTTTCATCGAGATATTGTTTTTTTTTTTTCAATTAAAAATTTGCTGATGGATAGTGATAAAACAAAACTGACTTCTAAAGAGCGCGAACCTCCCGTCATCGGAATTCCTGCGACTGAAATGGAATCTTTGATAGCTACTGTTTTTCCAGTCAATAAACCACAACCCTCTATATCATTATTTTCCCGGTTGACCATACATTTCCATGTCCATTGATTATGGTCGTTTTCTTGGTTCTCTGGTCTATATCCGATATCGCGCCTTGAATCGCCTGCGTTGACTTCACCATCGGGCCAGTGTTTTACTTCTGCTATAAGGTTTGAGAGCTGTGAAATCTTTTCAGCATACTTTGTCAGATGAGCTCGGGGTATGTCGAGGGTAAATTGATCCGAAACAGCTAAAATTTGAAAAAAGTTTGAAGCTCGTCATGATTCTGTTCCCATTCAAGAGAGACGTTACCCATGACTTTTGTTGTAATAATCATGAGTTGTAATTTAGGCCGCTTAAAATATTGATTCATTTTCGGCAGAATAAAACTTAATTCAAAAAGATTAGCACATCAGCGAGCGCAATGATCCTAAATGCTTTTCTTGCTGCTTAGTCGTTTTTTTTCTAAGCTAACATTAAGTAAACTTCGAACATTTACACAAAACTAACTCAGGATATGTGGAAGACGAAACAGTTCTAGAAATCACGAACCAAAAAGTTCATACCTTTAATTTCATCAATAATGGTGTCTTGATTTGCCATTCTATCAAAAAGAATGAAGAAAAATTCGGAGCTTGACTCACGTTGACCTTGAGAAACAAGATTTCACAAGCAGATAAGATACTACTAGCAGCTAATGAGTATGATTGATTTTATAAAGCCTAACTACCAATTCTTATCTTTCTCTATATACCAAATTACGAGTTAGTAAAATACTAATGATGACAAAGTTTGACCGCAACAATGAGAAAAGCGAGAATATTCATTTTGGACATGACTCTATGCTACAAACCAGGGGCGGATCTAGGATAGTCTCGATGGAGGGGGCCGGATTTTCAAAAAACGTCGAAAGTTTTGCCAATCTTTTTTTTAGTTAGAACAAATACATTTTCTGAGCTCTCCCAAATCGTTATAAAGAGCCTATTTTGGTTAGATTTTCTGCGCGGTAGGCAAAGTTTTGAAAAAACGGGCCAAAAAGGCGATTTTAGTTCTTTTTTGGAAAATTTTGATGAAAAAAAATGTGTTTTTGGTAAAAATTTTGATTAAAAAAATTAGTATATAATGACGCCAAAGGCGCCTTCAGTGCAATTTAAGAGTCATTGAGCCAAAAAGGGATATCTGAAAATATTACAAAAGGGGAATTCTTTGGATCAGGAGAGGTCAAATCCCTGATCCCCCCCCCCCCTAAATCCCCCGCGACTGCTGCAAATAATGATTTGATTTTTTCAGGTTAAGCACATATACTACATTTCCATTATTTAAATACCTCTGTTTTTCGGCTGATTTAAAACTCCACGTGAAACGCTTGAATAGTAACTGCGGGTATGTTTTCCATTGAGCAGTTCAAACCTTACCTGATTTAAACCACAAACAAAAACTTTTTTTCTTCAAAATATTGATTTTCGTGATGTGTTTCTTATTTTTGTTTCAAGTTTTCTAGTTTTCAAACTCAAAGTTAGAAACATACTCTGCAGAACTTTTTCTAAAATAGCTACTTTTATTTTATTTTAACATTACGCAAACAATACCGAACAATCCCACAAAGATCTAGCGCAATCTTGCCAGCTCAAATTGGACCAACGAAAAGTCGGTTTTTCAAAGTTATCATGTTCACCCCCTACCACGGACACTGCAATAATTCCTTGTACCAAGCAATAAATTACAAAAAATGTCTTTTGTACAGCTTGCACTATAATACGAATCGGAACAATTATAACATCCCCCGAAGTCGTTTGTCGGGTAAATTGTTCATTCCGAGGCCAAACTCTGCATTCTGTGCATGGTAAGCGGATTCCGCAACAGACCAAAATCAGATTTACCGCGGAATTCGCAACAATGCTATTTTTTCAACTTTTTTGCTGCTTTTTATTCCTCACAGAAATACTTAAATACTGTAGCGCTCAAAATGCTCCAAAAATAGACAAATTTGCGGAATCCGCAACAGTATTTGCGAAATCGGGAACAGCTTATGAAACTCACAAACAAATAATAAGTTATGTGTTTAATTAAAATGAGCTGTTGCGGAATCCGCAAATTGTAAGTGGAATCCGCAATTGCAAGTAGAATTTTTTTGCGGATTCCATATACATATTCGTATACATGTAGAAGTATTTTAATTTATGTCTTTTATTTACTAGAGATTTTTGAAATGAAAAATTTATACGCAATTTAGTTTTCAAAGAATTATGTGCTATACGCATGCTATGCAGGACCTGTCTATCTTATTGTTTTTTTTTATGAACGATTCAATCACAGTATTACCTAGGGTGTAAACTGAGTGAGTTTTCATCTCTTTTCAAATACTGCTCTCATGATTTGAATTCACTCTGTCGTCTCATCCCAAATACTGTCTTGAAGATCTTACTTCACTATCCACCTACTAGATCAGAACTTGAGATTGATGGAATACAAAATACACACAGCACTCGTCCAACACACAGCATAATTTTATAGGTATATGCTGAGCGTTGTGTTTCCATACACTCTCAACCCATTAGCTCAAAAAAATGAATTTATACGTAGTTGTATTTCCCAGGCTGTGTTTCTCAAATTCTAAAGACCAATTTACTAAATCAATTTTAAAATTTCTTCGTTGATTACGATGACAATAATTAGCTTTTAAATTGATCGATGACCATACTTCGCCTCTAAGTTCCAGTCTTCGCTTTTAATTTCCGCATTGCTACTGATAAGAACTCAAGCTCTAGCTTTCACTTGTTCATATGCAAGTTCAATAATAAATAAACTTTGCTAACATTTGCAGATTCCGCTTACAAATTTCGCGGATTCCTTTTACAATTGGGGATTTCAATTACATTTTTCGGAATCCACTTACAGTTGCGGAATCTAGGACAGCTAGCCATATTCGCTTGTTGGTGAATCCTCGACACATCAAATGAGCCGACAAAATTTACGTTACAGGTAGTTGTACGCATAATTCACTGAAATGTTGTAAGTGGAATCCACTTACACCTTGGAAAATGTTTAAAGATTAGTCTCTGAAATCCAGCAACATACAGACACAAAATTGCCCTTCCTCGTAAGATTAAATTGGTTCTAATTTGGATTTTCTCAGCCAACAAGAACCACCCATTTCACATACAGCCCTTAAAAGAACAAGACTGCTCGTATCAGGGCAAATCCCTGAATGTTCCGACTGTCTTTTAAGGTCTATGGAGCAGTAATAAAATGAAAATATCAAATGTAATAGAAAAAAAAAGTTTTTTTCTCAAAAATTGAGATTTTTTCGTGAAAAAAATACCCCCTCACACCATAAAAAAAAACAAAGTGATAGATTTTGCTCCATGTAACAAATCAATTGCGGCAAATAGCCTGCTTCAACCAATTTGGAACGATTTCTGAGACGGATTAAATCTCGGCTTACGCGTTAATAGCGCGAATTATAGCGCGCGTTAATTGCCCGAAATTGGCCAAAATGGCCAAAATGGTAATATTTAAACCCTCATAACTTTAAAAAAAAGGTCACAGGTGAAATATTTTTTCAAATTTAAGCTCAGGATAACAATACTTTTTGAATGATAAAAAAAATTCCGTCAAAAATGGCTAGTTAAAAAGTCGAAATTTGTCTGAAGAAAAAAAAACCCACCCCGAGAACAAATATTCCGTTACTTTCGTTACGAAAGTCGGAACAATTATTCTTAAGTAAATGCTGGAGTGGAAAATCTTATATTTGTCTAACTTGCGAGGGGGTACAAGCCAGTAATTTACACAATTTTGCATTCATATACATTATCTTACTCGCCGTTTACGCTTAACTTTGCACTTACAATGAAACTTTTGCATCATGAATGTATCATCATTATTGTAAAATGAATGCTTTCCGCCCAATATCAATAGCGACACGTGAAATAACAACACAAGCAACACAGTGTGGACGTTTTTTTGCGACAAAAGCCCAAAAGATGTTTCCACATGGGAGTAAAACTGAGTACAACGCCCTTATAACAAACTGTACCCAATTTTCTCATACAACATTTTATGTTTCTCCGCCTGCTCACTTCGGACTCCTTTGTCGACTATCAGAGATCTGTTTTACGATCTGATTTTCAGAGGAAAATCGTATACAAAACCAGAGCTTACAATCCTACCAAGCTAAGTGAAGCATTTTCTATCAAACAGCAACTGGCACATCTACTAGAACCCAAAAACACGAACCAGGATGCAACTATAAAAGATTTCAGCAATTTTTCCGGCCTAAATTCTACGTGAAATATAGAGGAGACACCTTGTTTGAATAGAATAAACTAGCTATTAATAAGGAGAATATGAACTCCCTAAAACTTATAGTAAATCTCGGATAGGTGAAGTTTTGTTAATAATATCGCTTCTTGCAGTATAACTTTAAATAAATGTTAAGTTTTTTTTCTACCAGCCAATCATTTTCCAAGATTGACCCCTACAACATTTTTTATCTGTAAAACCTGAGTGTTTTGTAGTTTGTGGTTTTTAAATTACACAAAATAAAGTTGATCTCCAACGTTAATAGTTTTCTAGTATTTCTGTTGAATCTTTGAGGCCTAGAAAACATAAGTTAGATTAAGGTCAGTATTCGATTAAGTAGTTGCAAGAAGCTATCCAGCCAAAAATAGATTCCCCTTCCCCCTCTCCCCCACCTGCAAAAATTTAAAAATAGAAAATTTGTTTACATAGTTCGATTGTTATGAAAATTTGCATATACGGACTAATTAGGCCATGGCAAACAAATTCGGTCTCAATCATTAACTTTTTAGAACCATTAGTTACACAATAAAATTGATGATCGTGTGATTTGGAGGGGGGGGGGGGGGAGGAAAAAGAGCTGTGTACTCTGTCTGAAACTATTCAATGAGAAAGCAATTCAGTCCCAGGCTCTTTTTCCTTCCCTCCCCCCCCCCCCCCCCACCTCACAATTAAATCAATTTTATGAAGTAACGAGGGGTTTTACAAGGTTAAGTATGAAGACCAAATATGTTTGTCATAGCCTAATTAGTAATGTCTAAATACACATTTTTGTAACAATCCGATGATGTGAATAAATTTTTACTTTCAAAATTTCGCTGGTGGGGGGAAAGGAAAAAGAGCCCAGTCCTATCTCATAAATTAATCGTAGCCCTCTGTACTCTAACTTTCTGGTCGCTGTCCTTACAAGGGAAATTATTTACCATGTAGCCAGGAGATTTACAAAGTTATGAATGCAGATATTTTTAGACTTAGGCGATTAGGGATTAGTTTGCAAGACAAATTTCTTTTCAATCGGAATGAACTGTCCAATGTTTTAAATATTTTAAGTTAACAGATCGAAAGGGGGAAAATTGGGAGAGGGGGGCTTCCTTGTCTTCATTTGATAAAAATTGAAAAAATCATCATAATAAATAATAAATTGAATTCCAGCAAAATCACAAGCCTCAAAATAAATTTGGCATCAAATTAATTACAAATAAATAGGTTCAAATGAAGCTAGCAACTCTACCTAGGATCAGCCACATGCATTCACCCTCACGAAACTGACCCCAATGTCTGGGTATTACAAACGCATTCCTTTTCTGGCTTTTTTCCCTCCCCCTTCCCACCTCACACAACTATCATTTTTATGAGAAAGAGTCCTCATT